CGTAACGGTGCTTCGCTGTCGCGCGACCACCACAAGTCGTGTGTGAGCTGAGTATACCGCGAGGACGCCCGCGCATACGCGGATTTGAACCCGTGACCATACGGTTGCAAGCCGGGCATGCAGACAATACAACCACCGGCAGACATGAATTCCATTAAGCTCTGCGCCATTACGGATGCCGATTGCATCCCATCACCCGTCAAAAAACTGGGAGGATCTGACATGCCATTGCTTCTTTTGAATATGTTTGCCACTTCGCTAGGATCGAGCTATTTTCCAGATCAGTGGAAAATGTCGTTGTGTAACTGTTGCCCCAAGAGTGGTCTAGGACAAAAAAATCGAACACAACCGACCGGTTCATTACACTACTGTAATCGCCAGATTATTCAAAAAATGCGTTAAGAGTGTATCGAATTGTATCAACAGATTGGGGCTGACAGAGATGTCCTAAACAACCAATTGTGCACAACCTGCCAGCTACACTATTTAAACAACATATCAGATTCAATCAACTCAGGATATATAGTCATCATCCTCTTCATGGACATGCAAAGGCTTTTGATCAGGTGTCGCATAGACAGTTACCTATAAAGATAGCTTCCTTTGGGGTCAAGAGCCAACTATTAGGTCGATCTCAAATAGTTACCTTAGGTGACCATCACTTTTCACTGCGTCCAACCACCAATGGTCCATTACTCTTCCTAATTTATGTCAACGACATCACTAAGTTAGTTAACATAGCATGCCGTACTTATTAGCCCATGATATGAAGAGTGTTTACAAGTTCAGAAGGTACTACTACTCATCCAGGATTACCTTCACTCTTTTGAGATATGGCGTGACAAGTCGATGATGAGGTTCCCAGCGCAAAGACCAAGTGTCAGTTGTAGTGCGTGCATGATATCGGATGGAACTGTCACAACAACACCTTTGTGTACAACTGTTTACACCCGATCTCGGGATCAAATATACATGTACGTTCAACCTTTTGAGCAGACTGGGTACCAGATAGCACGAACCAGACAACCTGTAGCTAATATATCATACAAAGTGCATACAATCTCAATCAGAATAGAACATTTACAAGTTCTCACTGGTCCCAATCTGGAGTATTGCAACATAACTTGCGGCAGCATGAGGAAAACTGACAGGACAGCCATAGAGAACATACGGTGATCGTTTATCAAACGCTCAGTAGACAAACATTCTACCTTGAACTGTCTAGAACAGTGTCAGCAGCTTCATCTCGACCTGCTTTGGCTGCGAAAATTAAGACATATTTGGATAATGCTGTGCAATTTGATTCATAGTAATGCATATTGCAATCTACTTACGTTACCATTGCAGCACAGTTCGACTAGGGAACTTCTTAAAAAGACTTTGCCCTGGACAAGTCTGAAGTTCAAGTTCTCTCTAATCAAATATACCGCCCAGTGGAATCGGTTCCTAAGCATAATCAAGTATCATGAGAATGCGCAATCATTTTGTAGGAACCTCGGAAGCCACTTCGATCTGGACACGATAGTGATCTTTAGTTTGTGAGATTGCGTGACGATCTATTTAATGAAGGACCAGATAGCGCCTAATGGGAGAAATAAAAAAAATTCACGAAATGTAGGCACTCTTCAATGTTTACAGTATCCTTAAAGCGCACTGATGACATTCAGCCTAACGTTTAACGCAGACTTATGAGACATAGATTGCCGGGAACACAGGCAAAGACAAACGTACAACTGCATGTTGCCCATGCAAGAACGCAGTACTACCTGTAATATGTGCCAAACATGGACATAGCTTCACACTTGATGAGCAAGATGCCCAGTATTACTGGTATTCGATGCAAAGTCTAAGTATGCTTGCGGGGAAGAACTGGGATGGGAAGCTGGGCGGCTACTCCTGCAGCATTAACCGGTCAGGAAAACCAGTAAGATATTTTTTGGCTCAACATGCCTTTTGTCAAAGAGGTTCCGTTAATTTTTGAGTGAGTAATAGGGTCGCAAGTAATCTTTGATCTGACAGTGTGGGAGGCTATATCGTAAATCACTGGCTAACCCCAATGGCTGTGAAAACGCACGGTGGTTTAAGTAATGTGCGATTTCTTACACCATCCAGTTTGTAGTAGGCTGTCAGATAATTTGCTTTGATGTAAGTTTGAAGGGAGGATTGCCACGCCATGCTGCTGAGCAATACAAAGCAGCGGTCTTTGACATTGCATAGCTCGAGCCCGGATGAGCGCATAGAGGATTTGATAGCCTACACTAAAGACAAATCTTCCACTATGATGAGAACTGATAAAGTACAGCCATATCGAGACTTGCCAAGAAATGAAAGTAGATTCTCAGGACTGCCTAGATGGCCCACAGAACGTTTTAGATAAGCAGAAATTTGCTGAGAAGCACGTTTTGGATGAAGCTGGGAGGCTTGCGATACTGACAGTAGTAATGCGAAGAAGACATTGTTGACGATGTATTAGGAGAGGAAGAAGAAAGCACCAGCAGTACGCCGTACCGACGCTTCGCTGCCCCGCAAGAACCACCAGTTGCACGTGGACTAGAGATACTGCGAGGGTCGTCCTGTCCCTACGCAGGCTCGAACTCGCGCCATCAGATGATAAAACAAGCTCGTTACCTTTAGGCAACGGGTCGGCGACGATGTACTGGTATCAACAAACACTAGGCTCACTTATCAAAGACTAATGTCTCAGCTGAGAAATCAGAAATGCCGAAACAGCAGCTGAAGATAGAATAGACAAAAGTGATGGAACGGATGGCTTCATTACCTGAAACGGAGTCCTCGTAGCCGATTGTACTGCGATCAGGTTTTGAAAAGCCTAATCGTTTACTGGGTAACCCGACGGTATCCTGCTCACGCAATACAAAACTAAATGGCGTGCTGTCTAATGGTGCCACCAGTGCGTCAGAGCAGACTGAAACCTAAGAGCAGTATGACGTCAAGTCAAGAATTCGTTTTTATGCACCCATGAAGGGTGAATTTACAGCTGTAACACATACGCGATCGAAACGGTAAAGCGAATAACACTGTAACTTTATAATGTGCTCCAGGCAGTATGATTCCCTTTAGCAGCGGAAGCAGCCTACTAAAAGCCTACGGGTTTGTTGGAAGCCAGTCATGAGGCGATAACAGCTTTTGTGACGATAGCAATACGGTGCCCGTCAACCGGTCATCACATACGGACAGACTGTTTTTCTTAGTTGCTAGCACAGCGACACACTTCACAGGAAACCCTTTTGCTGACTTTTCACCTGCATGAAGACCGACTACCGATCGATCGAAACATGACACGTTCAGTGCGGCTCATGTGGTGTCCGGCTCACGTCCAGTTCTCACAGCTGTAAGGCGTGCGTCCACCGGGTCTTGCCACGTGGTTGAGACATGACGCATGCATTGCGGCTGTGGTGGCTGGATAGTATTCACTTCTCACAGCCGAACGGCTCGGTGTGCTCTGCGATCGTAGGCACACATGTGACGTCTGTGTCCCATCTCACCCATGCCAACAAAGTAATTTGCGCTACTGGACAATTATCATTTCAGTGTACTGGTGTGTACGTCAGCACCTGAGTACAGACGATCCTAGCTCCGGACTAGATTAATAAAACACCCTGTAGAGTGATGATGACGCGCGGTGAATGTTGAACAATAAGGTCGTAGAACTGTTTGGCCGACTTGCACAGAAGCGAGGGCCCAGCACTCACATTCGCACGGTTGGTGATAGGCACTTGAAGTCGTCTCGCGTTAAAGAGGAAGTGATTAACAATTAATAAGCTGTAAACCCGTGGCGGAGCTGTATGATATCGGGCGCGTCCCCAGGTTGCGGATTAGGGAATGCCTTCCTTGTGGAGGTAACTGCGAATAAGTCTCGTTTGCTTTTCAGGGGAGATGAATAAGCAGTCGTGGACAATCAGCGGCAGCGCCTCAGAGCGTGGAGAGTGGCTGGTCACCTGCTTCTCCATTAAATACCACAGGTGCTCGTACGGCGCTGTTTCAAAGCCAATGTGACCGGCTATAGGGTCAGTGACCACTCACTCTTGTAACTGAAGGTGAGTATCTAACGGAAGGCGGATGAACAACCTCTCTGGCCCCCGGCTTCTCTGTGGACTGCTTCCGAACACAAAGAAGGCGAATGAGCCACTTGGCTGTCAACGGTCTTCGTGAATCACCCCGCTGCCTTGCGGGTAAGGTCTTTAGACCAAAGCCTCGAGGTGGGGTCCCTTAAGTCAACCCACTTCCTCGGCCTGGGCAACCGGGAAGCTCAATGTCCACACCACACATGGAACTTTGCTTCCAGTTCTCTTACGCACTCTCTCTTTTTTGTTATTGTTACTCATGTGTTGTGGCACTCTGCCAAATGTTTATTGGGCCAGTGTTAAATACAATATATACACTAGGACGTAAACAGCAGCTGGCAGTGGAACCAGACATAGAGTAACAAAATTGCGAATTATAGCACACACTGTGACATCACGCTTCTGAAAAGACTGGGCGCTTATCAAAGCGGAGATGGCTGGACATATGCAAAATGTGAGATACCTGCCGGAAAGATTGTAGCTTTTCTGAGCACATTGGTGTATTCCGATGTTAAGATAGGAGATGTACAGATCTGTCGACCCCCAGAAAAACGCACCGTGTATGGGGGGCGGTGGGCATTAATTACTGAGGAACAGGTTAGTGGCACGTAATGGAGCTGTTTGTTGACAGTAGCATGAGAGCTGTTCTAAATGCACTCAAAACACTAAAAGTTATTCGCACGCTAAATTCAACGACGCGTGACTTCCAAACCTATCAATTAGTACCACACTGAGATCAAACTTTGGGTCCCATCCTGATCGGAAAAATAATTGCTCGGATGGGCGGTCTTGGTAATTTTCGCCTAACCGTTAGCGCTTGTAGTCCCAAGAACGTATAGAATATCCTACAAGCCGAAACAGATGGTGACCGTGCAATAAGAGTGATGGAAACCGGTTGAAAGTCCTTTGACTTACATTCCGTACTCTCAACATGGTTTACTGGTGATCCTGCCCGAGGTGATCCAGATTTCAGCCCAACAAAGGTTGGAGTAGGGAGTCGGTTAGGCCCAATGACTTGAGAAAAGTTATCGTATGCGGATAAATTTACACCATGCGATAAAACGGATTGGCGGGAAGTGAAGCCTTCTTGAAGTTGTTCACAAATGCGTGCTACTGCCTGAGCATCTACTTGGGAGCTAGCAGTAGAATCGGTCATTTTCGACAAACTATTGTCACTACAATCCTTAGAACTATGATTCAATGGGGTTGTTCGGAATTCCAATCGCGACCTTTTTGATTTTGGAGAATAGTTATTTGACGTAGGTTCTCTTAAACATGATGTAGCCTCCTGACTTCGTTCCATTTCGTCCCGGCGAAGAATTTCGTATAAAAACTCCACCTCCTCGGCGATTGCCTTAGGGGACAAACAAGGTCCAGCGATGGATGAGGCGCATGACTGATACATATCACTTCCGAGCACATTGCCGGACGACGAACTTGGATCGGTTGATAGCGATGTGTGCATTTGCTTCAAGAGTGGAGGACCAGAGGGATATGAGGCCGGCAGCCCAGGAACTGATAGCGACTCGGCAGACCTGGCATGGGGAATGACTCCGGAGTCCGTACTGTCAGTGGAAAACTCGTAGATATCGTGGCTGCAACAAGAGAACACAAGTAAACATAGAAGACGGAAAAGAGTAGCAATTTTAATCCGCGAAGAACGTGGTTATCACTACGAAGTGAGATGATGGATTAGCGACGACCGATGAGTGCATCGCTTAGGCTCTCGATGAAGACAGCGATGAAAATCAATACACAAATATAAGCGATATCAAATTTAAAGCAAAGAGTTGCTGTACGCACCCGGGAAGAGTGATTATCTAGCTGTTGACTTACAGTGGGCAAGAGTTGAAAAAAAGTAGACGGATTGGACACATTGTGCCTCGAGTAGTAAGCAAAAACCAAACTTTTACGCGACAGAACTAAAGGTGTGTAATGAAATAAGATAAAGTGAGCAAATCAGAATTACTATGTGTACTCACCTCGAGGAGTTCAAAGTAGGAGCAGATGATTGGAGAGTCGGGAAAAAGTTAGCTTTAGACTTTTTAAGGGGTGTCTCCTGTTCGGTGAGAGGCGATGTCGAGACAGTTCTCTGCTCAAGGGAATCCTGGGATCCAAGGCAGGGATCCAGCAACAATCGACACAGACTGGATGAGTTGCTAGTCGAATGTCCGGAAGATAAGGTTTGTGAAGATGGCACAGACTTGGTGGTCACAGACACACCAGTCGAGAGGCTGCTCGGGAAAAGAGGTACTCTAGATGAGGGGATGGCGGAGGACACAGACGGTGAGACAGGTTCTACCAAGTGTCTTTCAGTTGGAGCCAATATAGGCGAAGTCAATGAGATATTTGTGGGGATGACTGAGGATGTTGCGCTGGGGTGCGGTATAGGGAAAACACGATTGGAAGCGGAGTAGTGGCCGGCCGACGCAGTGGTAGGTAACGACGGTATAGACCAGACGGGAGTAGAGAAGTTGCTTGTCATCCCATTCGATAAACCAACTAGCTGTTGGCTGTGTGCTCCAATGTTACAGGATGATACGGATACGATAGAAGGAACTGTGGTAGAATTCGCAGGATTGGTTATATGAATATGTCCGTTTAGTTCGTATTCTGATGAATCACTCGTATTAGTGGACGGGAAATCTTGCAAAAGCAGCTGTGTGAGAGATGTTATAGGAGGACTCTGTGTTAGCGCAGGAGTGCAGTGATTCCGACCACCAACACCGATGCGTTCGATCTGTGAAGAGACGTGACGAGTACGCGTTAGCGTTGAGACAGATGCGACGGCGTTCGACTGAGGAGTCGGTGGACCGCTACGGCGACGTTTGGCTTTATTATTGGCGGGGGACGCAAGGGAAGTAACAACGGCAGTGATAAGGGAAGGCTGTGTTTCGAGTGACGAGGTGTTAAACTGCGCAGTATCCCGAAGAGAAACAGACAAGGGGGAGTGATTTGACTGGCCAGATCCAGAGGATTGATGAAGGGCGAATTCGGGAGGACCGATGCAGGGAGAAGAGGGTTCAGAGTGGGTCTGCAAATAATCCGAGAGAAAACTCAAAACATTGAAAATGTTGAACAGGGGAAGTACGACAGAGCAGATGTGAGACCAGGAGGCGCAGCTCCAAAGGAACAACGCGGCCCGGAAGAAGAAAACTTTGCCGTGTGCCTAAACCAAAGCAAACTTGCATAACGAAAAGTGATGAGAGGAAATGCGCCTAAAGAGATGAAGCAAAAGGAAAAACCGTTCTGAGTGTGATATGCAACTACTCGGGCATCAGTGTATCGCGCATACCAGAGCGTGATATGTAGATGAGCCTCGCAAAGCCGATGTACGTAAAAATAGATGGGCAATTCGTGCAAGGTTAAAGAGGGAATCGTGCGAAGTCCGCCATACAAAACCGAAGGAACGGGAAACATAACGTCATTAAACCAGGGCCACGCTGAGATCAGTATCCAAAAATGGTAAGTAAATTATTGGAAAAGATAAACGGCGTACCGCTGATTTTGGGCGACACTTGGTGCAGCTGTTCTGGGGAGCAGGAATCGATGTAGAGGGATGTAAGAGGCGCTGAAACAAAACATCACAACGAATAAACAACAGAGCTGGAGAAAAAACAGGTGTGAGTAATAAGTTCGAGCTAACAAGACGGATTACTATAACAGCACAATAAAGGAGAAACAACATAAGGCCAGGAGGAGCATCAGAAAGACCAAATGAGGGTTACATACGTCAAAGTGTACCATCTAGTCGCTGAAATGAATATATCTCCACATGAGGTTATAGATTAGCATAAAATAGAATAGATACCGGAAATAATTACTAGATAAAGTCCTCTTGGAAGCATACACAGAATGTTAATAAGGAAGAAGGAAAAGTACCGGGCCCGATTGTGGTTCGCATAAGGTTTTCAAATGAAAATGTAGGCTGCAATATGATCAGATACTAGAAAGGCTAAGCAACGCCAACGTATAGACGTCAACTGCACTTTATGAACTTGATCTCTGTGGAACGTAGTAACCAAGAAGAAAGACACCTGCAGTACTGCTCAATGAGTTGAGCCGATAAAACGGGTAGATAACACTCGTCACTGACGGTGAGTAGAGAAAATGCGCTATACTTACCACAAGGAGACTGTTTGCCTTGGAGGGCGATGGTGGAGGTATGGACCCCACAGAATCAGGAAAACGTGTGACCGACGGTGATAAGGCAGGGGAACAACCTGTCAGCAAGCGTTCATAACTCCTTGTGGAGGAAGGTGGATAAGCGATAGTTGCCGTAGGGGAACTGGAGATAGGTAGTGTTCCATCGGTTGAATTTGTTAGTGTGGTGGGGCTCATTGATTGGTCATGACAAGAGGCACTCGTGGGAACTTGAACTGAGAGTAATTGACCTGAAGGTTCACGCGGAGAAGTAAAGTTTGAAGAGGATGAAGGTTCCGCAGTGCAAGACTTTTGGATCACCTGAGTGCCCGCAACTGTGTCAACAGAAGTGTAGTCCAACGATGCGGGAGCGAAAGTGGAAGAGAAAGTGTGACTGCTGCTGGACCTAGACTCAAAAAAGGACGCAGGCAACAGACAAAGATCCGCCTCTTCAGACAAAAGCCACTCAAGCATACAACATTTTGAGCCGCCAGATGTACGCTGAGTAGTTTTCAAGTCGGCGAGGCACGTGTTAGGAGGGGCCGGAAGCTGCGTACTGGAGTTAAGCGCACCCACCAAAGTGACAGAATCAGCTGCAAGGGATGAAGTCGACAGGCAGTCACGCGGATCCATCAGATTGGAGGAGGTAATTTGTGACGGTGTTGAAAGTAAGGTCTGAAGGGCCGTTTCAAGAGTGGGTTATGAAAAAAAATAGAGAAGTGATCAGAAATGAAGTGAATTCATCTCGGTAGTACACTGCGGCCACCAAGGTGGTGGAGATTAAATGATTTATGCGGGAGAAAAAGCGATGATGGCGAAAAGTGACACTAAACGCCGAAATCCAAGCCGGTTAGATTTAAGAAAAATGGCGTCGTTTGGTAACCGAAATAAGTAGTATTTTGAATCTGAATAATAAGGGCGCCATAGAGCTTCCGAATGAGGCTCAAACAATAGAGTAAGTAATTAGTAACATCAAGCATGCTATCGGAAAACAAAAGTCAGACCGCAGTCACAACACAGTGCAGATAGGACAACGTCAGAGACAGCTGGGCGAATGGTTCCGACGACACACAAATAAACTCTACAATGGAAAACCACACTAATTCCGAACCCAATAGGTTAAGCCAATTCAAAAATCCTTTGAAAAAGAGTATATTTGCAATGGGAGAACATAGACGGAAATAGTGGGCCAATGGTAAACAGGATCTCAGTGCATCGATCACACTCTTCAACTAAAGTACGCGGGAGGTCCCTCTATGCTTGCAGCTGTTAAACTGGAAAGATAACCCGGGAGTGTACAAGTGCTATGGATGGCGACAATCTGCAAGTCCAATGAGGGCGAAGAGTTGTCCATCGGAAGAGAAAACGTCGTAAAGCGCATTGGATCAGACCACCTGTGAATGAATTCCTGGATGAAGTGTAGTGCGCTCTTGCTCGCAGATTTCGTCGAACGCTGCTTCTAAATTTGGTTTCTACCTTTACCTGTGGCTTTCGGATGTTAACATAGTGTTAGGTTTGACTCATAGGTAACAAACCTCAGTCGATTCACAGTTCCGACCACACTGCTGGTTTCCGTTGCAGTAGTAGTGTAGGACAAACCGGTTAGCAAAGCTAGCCACGCGAGTACAGTCGGTGGTAGCCATAATGATTTGGTTCCCCGTACATCCATACAACCCGGCCTACGGTAACAGCTAGCGCAAGCCAGACGGTACAATAAACGCGGCATTACTGGATGAAATGCCTAATCAGTAATTCAGTGTCTGAAATGGTTAGATGGTCATTCGCTTAAACATGACATGGAGGACCTCTAGCGACAGAAAACTTACTCGTTGCTCCTGAGACACCAAGTCCTCAACCGTATTGGGCCCAGACGATGAATGTGGCAGAGTCCATTCTTGAGGTGCCATAGGCATGTTAGATGAAGCAGTAAATGATAGAGGGTGATTCATTGAGGAAATTGCATTAGTCTCATTGCTACCTTCGCCTGATGATCTCCGTTTGAAAACCGAAGTGGCTAAAACGACGGGGAATAAACACAGCTAATAACGAACCATGAACTGCTAGTGAGTAAACGTAGCACGCAAGATAGGATAACGAGTGAGTTCTGTTGAAAAGTGCAAGAAAACAGTAACCGTACCATTGGTAGTTTGAGTAACTATTGTACTACTCGGTCTTGGGGCCTCGGTGACCAAAGGATCAGCGACTGGCGACTTATACGGGAGTTGTGTTACGAAATGATTGGTATTTCTCAGAGCATTGGGACCCAAATATTGTCGTACCACCTGTCGCACTCTGCGAGCAAATTGCTCGCGTAGAGTAGCATCCAATTTCGCAGCTGTTGTGATGTTTATCACAGATGGAGCAGAAGGTCCGGGTGATGTTATGAGCATGTCGGACCGGCTCACAGGGATGCGTTTTTCGTTGTTGCGGTAAATTTCTTGCCAAATATGGCGAATTTGCTTCACAGCCTCCAGAGGCAGCAAGTTTTGTAGAAGCATTATACTATAGAAAACAAGTAAAAAAGGACGAAATGTGTATGAAACTGGTGACAAAAATATCGGAGCAGAATTCTGCCAAGAGACAAGAAACGTCGGTAAGCAGTAACCAGCAAAAGCGGATCGAAGAGTAGTACATCACCAAACGAAACAATTCGTGATGCGAACCACAGGAAATGACAATAAAAATGGCAACAAAGGAAAAAAGTGCCATACACAAGAGCGTGACAGAATTTGAGGTTAAAATGGCGGAACCAAAAAAATGAATAAAGAAACTGTTCTGATGCTGAAATAAAAGGATTCAAACGCAATATGCTTATGAAGAATAAACGATGGAGAGCGTCACCAGAAATCGTCAGGAAAATGATATCAAAGATCACAAACAGGTGTGGAGCTTGCTGACACGCAATAGAAGATGTGTGTAGCTAAAATAATGAATGGATATCCTCATTAAGAGGAGTAGGCAGTACCTTCACTTTTCCAGTTTTGCCACGGTTGCATACAGACGCGGCCTACTGAAAACGCTGTTCTACATGGCCAGACGAATTTGTAGTCCGGATAGCTGGAAGCCGAAGAGAAATTGCTGCATAGGAACCTGGTGTTAAATGGTTATCCTGAAAAGTTCATCGAAGTGAACAGCAGACTCTCCAAAAAGAAAGTGCCGGTGTTAACAACAGAGAAAAAAGCAGTTTGTCTGTTTCTGTTCTTCACGGGAGACCATGTGGCAAATGACATCGGACACAAGCTCAGGTCTGCCCTAACGCGCACGTACGCGACGGCCCAGTTGCGCCTCGTACACACTACTCGGAAACATGTTCTTCATGACCGTCAGAGCCACTCTTCAGCTAGTTCGCCCCTTCATGTGGTCTAACAGTTCACCTGAAGTTGCAGTGACGTTTACATATGCAGGACTAACCGTCGGTTGGCTCAGACGGTGGCTGAACACTTGCCAAAGTGGGTGGAACAAATGATGATGCAACAAATCGGAGCGCCCCCCAGAATGAACCGGATTCTGTCATCATCTAGCACCAAGCACTTCGTGACAACTGGTCATAAGGTGGACCCGAAGACTGCGTTCAAAGCGATAAAATAATGAATTCAAGTATGGCTGATAGGGGCTCAACATACTATAGGCTTCGATAGCAAAGGGATGACGATATGTGGATAAGAACGCTCAAATCACATTATTGAAACAGTGCACTATAAATGCAAGGTATTAAGTTAGCAGAAGCAATGGATAGATAACGGGAATAGTCTCACAGGATACAGGGTCAAAGATCGGTGGAGCCAAAGCAGAAACAACCGTTTGTGTGCAACTTGCATGTTGGATGTAAGTGGGAACATATCCTGACAGCCAGTGAAATAAAGGCATCAAAAGCACAACAGTACACAGTACCGACGCTTCGCTGTCACGCAATCACTCCCGGTAGCATATGAGCTAAGGATATTGCGAGGGTCCGCGGTCCTTATGCGGGCTCGAACCCACGCCCTCAGATTAAAAGGCAGGCTTGTGTTCCTTAAGGCTACGGGCCGGCAAAGCATTAGCAGTATGCCGGTACGCAGTACCGACGCTTTGCTACAGCGCAACCGCAACCAGTCGCACGTGGACAAAGGATATTCTGAGGGTCGCCCGGTCCCCTACGAAGACTCGAATGCGCGCCCTCAGATTATAAGGCAGGCTTGTGATCTTTAAGGCCACAACTGACCTAGTGAAATAAGGGATGAATATGGACAACAGACAAATATAACCGATAGTTCAAGTAAAAGACGCACCCACTAAGTGAAATTCATGCAGACCAGAATGAACGCAGGTGAAGGATCTATCGGACAACAGAGAAAGTGAGCGGCTAACGGGTGCAGTTAATGTGGTATTGGGTACCGCCGTGAAAGCATAATGATTCGGTATGCTGACACAATCGGATCGCAGCTGGCAGCAAAGATACACAGACGTCTCGCATAGCATCTCGCCTAACTTGAAAGTATATCGACATCAGAAGTTGATAATTTGGGGAATGAAGCCACAATATCAAAGGTAAAACAGGTCTAAAGAACATAAGCTTTGTCAATGAAGTTAGTAAACAAAATCCGAAAAGCGGTATAGCTGATCACAACAACGCGAGTCAACACGACAGAGAGAGGGAAGAATATCAATCTGACCCGAACAGAGTTAAAACAATGCCAGTTGGCCGAAATGAAAAAAAACAAATAGTTAAATGAAAAATACGCGAGGGGACTTTTAGGCAGCTCTATTATGCCCTTAGGCCAAGCGATCGACTAGTCACTTTGCAGTCACCTAAACAGACACAGTGCAACTAAAATTTAACAGACGATGCAGTGTGGTCCCACGGGAACTATTGTCTTACAGTCACCGAAGGGCCACGAGATAAAGTACTTGGTGCTCTTACCAGATATGATCAAGGCTTCGCATGTAACGATGGCGAAAAATGACCAGCCTATTTATATCTTCAACATATACCGTATGTGCTCCTGGTCCGCGCATTACTGTTGCGTACTACTCTTGACTGAAGAAGTAACAGCGCACAATCTGCGCGAATGATTACGTTGGCGAGTCAACGGAGAATCATCGAGTCACGCGGTACTCGTGTCAGTGACTCGGATGCAGGGGGTGATCCAACCAAATGGTTAGGTGAACGGATTGGGTATAGCGTTGGTTATTTGAGAAGTGTAAACTTTGGAAGTCTATTCGTTCAGTTCGAGTCCTAAACTGCATCTGAAAGCGAAAGCCGAAGCGAACGACCGTCAGCAGTAACGCCTGCATATCTAAGGGCTCATAAGTGATAAAAGAAACGATACTACATTCGACGGGTACTCCAAGAGCCAATAATGAAAGTGTACTATCTGCAAGTTCAGTAACAGGAATAAGAAATGATATCAGAAAGTACCTAATAGCCTAGAAACCATGGGAGGCTGGGGTGTATGGAGTGGTTCGCACGCCTGGCTTGCAATCATAAGATCACCACTTCGAATCTGGGTAGGGACGTGCGTCTTCGCGGTGTACTCAGCCCACGCGCGACTGGTGGTGGCCGCGCGGCAGCGAAGCGTCGTTACGGCGTACGGCTGACACATTATGTTGTCCCATGTAGCTCAGTGGTCTCAACAACCGACTGGCACAGCCGAGTTGCGGGTTCGAGCCCTGCCAGGGTCAAATGCAATGCGCATTGCTGACGAATTCCGAAAGGATGAAAAGGCCATACAGAGCTTTTAAATGCCTCAGCTTCTTCAGTCGCCTTGTGCATTGCTTGCAGACGGCTTGAAGATTTGGAGGGTTATTGATTCTCTCGACGAACGTGACCTCCTTCAGCAGCACCTCGACTGCCTATCCCGTTGGTTGACCCGGCCAATTCCTCGTTTATGAGCCTGGGGAGGGATGGTAATGGGTGTGCGTACACCCTGGCCAGCCACCCGATGCATCCTACCAGTTCCGTAAATAATCTAGGCCTACTCTCACGCTTTGATCTGAAGTCTATTGACAACACGAACAGAGTGAAGGCGAGCTGACAAGGCCTGTTTTTGGCACTTAGACGCAGCTTCTGCAGTTGGTCTGAAGAGATTGCCACTCGTCTGTTCTCTCTCATGATAAAGCCGGTTCACCCGCCTATTGTTCGATCATAATAGGTGAGATGCAGAGACTGGAACGGGTCCAGCATGTAGCTGCCAGGCTCATCCCAGCTTACGGGGTATGTCGTATGAGGACTGATGTAGGAGACTAGGGCTTTATACCCTGTCATATTGTGGGCTTCGAGTTGATCTCATTATGACGCACCAGATACCGCACCTGGGCCACTTCCCTATATTGAAGTCGCTGCTTCACATTCGCAAACCAAGCAGCACTCGTGGTGAAGGATTTAAAGCGCATCGCTCACCCTCTATGCTTCGAGTGGTGAAATATTAGAACAAATTGCCGGAGATGTTAATCGATGCGAAATCGATGACGCCCACTTTGCGGACTACAGGTATAGGGAGCGTATCGCACCTGGAGAAGATGCAGTGCAGGTTTAAAATGCTGTCACCACGCAGGAATCAGCGATATGATTCCGCGCACATTCCCGATTCACCTACGATGGAGCAACACTGATTTTTATCCTCTCACTCTCTATTCGCAGTATTCGGTAAACGCACAGTGTCTCAAAGCAGTGATTAATATAGTTTTGGTTGAGCTTCTAACAGAACCGGAACCAAAAGGCTATTCACTTGGATCAATGTAAAAGCAAATTCTGAAATAATTCTAGTGAGAATCTACGATAGTGTGAGCACTGCGAGCTATTAACTCGGTACCATCAGGATCATGGTCACTATCCAACTACCCTGGACGTAGAGACAATAAGATGTTATTAATCCGTAAACTTAATCGGAGCAAACCGGGAGCTAGCGCCGCCTATCGAGCAGCATAAAAACATCTTGACGTGAGTTAGTTTTGAAAGAGGGTCTGCATGATGAAACAAGAAGTGGTCAATGGATATAGAATATAAGAGTGGCTCTGTCGAGGTTGGAAATATTAGGAGAGAAAAGGAAAATCAAGCTCGGAAGCACCAAAATCGGACAGTAATTAAATTGATATATATCCGCTGCAGAGCGGCGAGCGCAAAGCACACGGTTTCAAAACCAAAATCAACAAAATAGGGAAGCAGACCCGGTTCGGGAATACGAAGCTACTTGGGGCCGGTAATACGCGACTTCAGCAAGGCAGATATTGTAGGATTCTCAGTCACAATGAACATCACAGCTACAGCAACAGTCAATCGCATGCGAATTCTGTTAGGCTTGGATCCCATTGAGAGGAGTGATAATGAACCAGTGAGTGAGAAATAGGCTAACACAAACTGTTGGAGACAACTCGGAGCGTTCGCACCGCAAGGATGCTGATACCGAATTCCCATTACTTAAAAATAAATGAGTGTTACCTAGTGCAACCTACCAAACTATGCTAAGATTCACTCTCATCACAGTAGTCATTCCTGAACAGATGTTTAAGGCTAGTGCACAGCA